GATGTGTAAACCAGTGTTCTGGAAAACCTTTCCCTTTGGCTTGCAGGAGCAACACAATATTGGTCCTTACCATACATGGCCTCCAGTTTGTTCTAGGTTAATTCTCAGCCCTGCACTACCTGGTGGGCTGCTGGTTATCAGAGCTGATGATTCACATCTACAAATTCTCAGGGGCTTTGTGCTTTTTCTTTTTTTAAAGGGAAACCATAGTAAAATTATAACTGCTCAACCTACCTACCTGGAAAATATATAATTATAATAGTAGTGTCTTTCACCCTCTTTCTGATCATTTTTCAATTATTTTGGCTCTGTTTCTTTTAGAGCAGTAATCTTTAACCTAGGCCACACATTAGAATCACCTGGGAAGCTTTAAAACTGTCAGTGCCCAGTGGTACCCTCAACCACTTCAACAGGAAACTCCAGCAGGACCCAGAAATCAGTACTTGTTAAAACTTCCTGGGTCGATTCTATTGCCACCAAATCCACTGTTTTAAAGGAATAGGTGGTAAGCTTTTCTTTTCTTTGAGACAAGGTCTCACTCTGTTGCCCAGGCTGGAGTGCAGTGGCACAATCACAGCTCACTACAGCCTTACCCTCCTGGCCTCAAGCAATCCTCCCACCTCAGCCTCCCAAGTAGGTGGGACTACAGGTGTGTACCACCACAACTGGCTACTTTTTGTATTTTTTGTAGAGACAGGGTTTCACCACATTGCCCAGGCTGGTCTAAAACCCCGGACTCAAGTGATCCACCTGTTTTAGCCTCCCAAAGTGGTGGGATTACAGGCATGAGCCACTGCGCCTGGCCAGATGGTAAGCTTTTAAAAAAGCAGATTAGTGGTAGTGATGGTTGAACAATCTGAATGTACTTAACCTACTGAACTGTATACTTAAAAATTGTTAAGATGGTAAATTTTATGTTAGGTGTACTTTATCACAATACAAAAATTTGGGGAAAAACAGATTAGGACACTCTAGATCTGTGCTGTCCAATACCACAGCCATTAGCCACATATGGCTATCGAATGCTTGAAATATGGTTAGTTCAAATTGAGATAATAAATCAAGATAAGTGAAAAATACACACCAGATTTTGAAGGCTTATTGTGAATAAAACAATGTAAAATATTTCCACTAGTAATTTTTTTATATTGCCTACATGGAGACAGTATTTTTTATCTTTTAGGTTAAACAAAATATATTAAAAATAATTTCCCATTTAAAAAAATTTTTAAACGTAGTTACCACAATATATAAAATGACATATGTGGCCCCATTGTTTCTACTGGACAGCATTGCTCTAAATTTAAAACTAAACTAGCAGTCAATTAATTAAAAAGGATAAGGTTAACATGGTAAATTTTATGTTATGTGTACTCTATCACAATATAAAAATTTGATGACTCATGCCTGTAGTCCCGGATACTCAGGAGGCTGAGGCAGAGCATCACTTGAGCCCAGGAGTTCAAGGCTTCAGTGAGCTATGATGGTGTCACTGCACTCTAGCCTGGGTGATAGAGCACGAGCCTGGGTGATAGAGCAAGACCCTGTCTCTAAGGAAAAAAAAAACTTTTAGATTTCATTTATTTTACACATATATTATCACTTGGAGAATGAGAAAAAATGGCAAGTACCTTGGGACCAGAGAGCCTATCCTAAACATGAAAACATGTAAAACACACAGAAATGCTTATTTTTTGAGTCCTCAGTGGTATATAAGCAGCTGCAATGCCCCCATCATTAGGTTAAGGGGACTCAAGAACAGCTAAGTGGTAACCCTGGTCCAAGACATCTGAGCTGATATAATGATACCCCATCCCCGTGGTAACATCTCGGCTACTGAGGCATCTTGGTAAAGTCAATTCTTCATACCTCTCTTTCCTTGCAACTAGATTTGGGTGATGATACAAAATATCCCTTTACAGCTTCACTTAGATTTCGTGAGAATGGATAGGCTAACAAAAAAAAACCATTCTGATTCCTTAAAGTGAAACCTAATAGAGGAGCGAACACCAGGCAATTTCCCGTTCCCAAGTGGGCAGTGTGACCAGTAATGTCCAGCAGGATGTTAGATCACCTGCCCTACAGGAATACAGTCTTGCTTCCCAATGGAAAAGGACGAAAGACGCCACGCACTTGACTGAGCAACCTCAAGGTGGTCTTTGGGAGGTTAAGAGACTGACTCTCCCCTGACCCAGCTCTAAAGCCCCACCCTTTCCTAACCCAGCCGCATCACTGCCAAGTTCACATCACATCCAGTCTCACTCTCTCTCACATGTTGCAGGGACTTCCCCTTACTCAGATCTAGAAATGGTTTTCATGCATGAAATACAGCCATAGCCCTGAGGCTTTAGGCAACAACCTGATAGGAGAGCTTAATTGCTAGTAGCAACTAATAACTGCTTTTCTACCCATAGTGTTATTTTTATAATTGTCATCATCATTATTAATAATAATGGGGATGAGGAAGACCAGGAGACCTTATCTAGACAGTTGTTTCAACAAGACATGAATCACAGAAGGCACCTGCACTGTAGTTACTCAGGGCCAGTTGCTCTGTTTTCATTTCAAGGTTGACTATTCTGGAGATTTTTTTACACCTTGGTGCATAGATTACCGTCATGGGGAACCTGGCCAGGTTTGACATGCGCTTTAGTTTGACCTCTTGTTGTTTCCTAGAACAAAGGCAGAGTTAGATCAAGAAGCCTTGATCAGTGGCAACCTGGCTACAGAAGCACATTTAATCATCCTGGATATGCAGGAAAATATTATCCAGGTGAGGAAAACAAACACCCAATCTGATCTGTCTGCCATGAATATGTTTACTAGAATTGAATAAGGACTTCTTAATGCAAAATTGTGAAAGACATAAATGTGATCCCATAGTACCTTCTTTTAAAAAATGAAGTTGCAAATTTACTATTTGCAATAGTGTCTACCTTATAAATTTCAGAGATACTCAACATTCTTCTGGCTTCTTTGACTTAGGGCTTACTTGGAGAGGGTTAGGTGTTTGACAAACTGACCCTCTTGGTTAAATCTGTGTGAGTATGTACCAAGTTTATAATGTGGATGTTGGGCTTATAGTTTAGTATCTAGAACAGTAGTGGTAACTAGGATTTTTTCTGATGGGTCAACTCCAGTTGAATGATGGTCACTGTCTGATATGGGAGCTATGATTATGACTAGGCTAGGTAAAAAGAGTGCTAAATTTGATAAATGATATCTTCTTTGGACTTAAATTGGTTAAGGAAAGTCATTTGTACCCTGAATTTGCCATCCCTATAGCTTTGTGAACTTTGTACCATATTAATTTTATCTTCTATGTGATATTTCCACAAATTCCCAAGATATCTAGGTAGTAATGAGTTTTTAATTACCCTGAAAAATGACTTCTTACGTGTTTCCATTGAGAAGCCCTTCATTAGAGTAGGTCCAGGATTGCTTTTAGGGCTAGAAGAAATATTGTTGAAACACAGTGAAATCTTAATTCTCTAACTTTTAAATTATCTAAAATCTAAGTAATCATATAAAAAATAAACACAAAAAGTATGTGATATTTTAGTTGACTTTGATATCTTTGATAACTTAAATGCTTGGTATCACATTCAGCGTATCTTTATATAGCACAGTATTAGGTGCCAAATATCTATACTAGCCCTCGATTATATTGGTGTTGTTAGTCATTCTGTAGCGGATAAGCAAGCTTCTATTTAGAAACCTTGCTGCCGCCAAGCAGCCCCTGTTGTACTGGGAAGCCCACAATTATGTTTTGAATTCCATAAGGAAAGCTATGTCTTGTACACAAAGAAAGAACTTTCCAAAAGACGTGACCCAGGATGAGGGAGATGGGCCTCATACCTTCATTTAGGAACCCAAAATTAGTTAGAAATCCCAAACTTATTGGAAGCATTGAAATAAAGCCGTTTGGAAATAGGTCTTCAGTTCCCATGGTTAATGGATGATACCCATGGTGGCTCACCAAACTCTTAAGACTCACCACTGGAGATGGAACATCAGCATTACTGAGCT